GAGACGCACATCAACAACAATGGGAACCAATGGCTAATGTGCAGAACAATCCCATCTTTCAAGCCAATGAAGAAGGGACGGTGGACGAAGACAATATGCTCATAGGAGATTTCCTAACTCCTCAAATAATTCAAAACCAATCCAACATAGTCTACCTACCGTTTGGATAGCCCAACTTCCAACTAAAAACAAACGTGATACAACTGTTTCAGAATGGACACTTATTTTATGTAGAGCTGAGAAGAACCCACATACGCGCGTCTCTCGGTTCTTTGAGATGTGTTAACAATTCAGGTATCAAGGTATCTCATACGACACAATCAGATTGAGGTTGTTTCCACATACACTGCGGGATAAGGCAATTGAATGGCTCCACTCCAAACCGATTGCCAGGATTACTACATGGAATGATCTGGCACAGAAATTCTATACCAAGTTCTTCCCGCCCACCAAGATTGCAAAGCTCAAGCATGACATATCTGTCTTCCGTCAAGGTGAATCTGAGTTTTTTTATGAAGCCTGGAATAGATTTAAAAGATCAATAAGGGACTCCAGACGCAGTACTTCTATGCGAGACTACTTCCGAATTTCAAAAGCATGGTTGACTCTTCAACTAACAAGTCACTGTCCACTAAAACCGTTGATGAGGCTTACAAGTTATTCAAAGAGGACACCGGGGATTTATGAGGTAGATGCATACTTAGCTTTATCAGCAAGGATTGGCTTGTTGTTCCATGATAAGTGTGTTTTTGCACACTTATTTTATACCTAAAATAAGCCTAAATATTGATCAAATGAGCGAATTCTACTCACAATTAGGTAATATTTTCTTCTAGGCCAAAAATTACCCATTGAAAGTGAACAAGGTAAAAATGAAGGAAAAAGGACCAAAAGCGTAAAAAAATTGTGAAGTTGGGGATCGAAGTGCACAAGTGCCAAAATTTAAGGACTTTGGAGTGCAAATTATGGAGGGCAAAATTGATATAAAAATCAAAATCTGGGGACCAAATTGTAGAAAATCGAAGTTGAGAGACTTAGTATGCAATTATCTCAAGGACTTGACTACAAAATGACAATTTTTTATTTATTTTTTTTGCATTGAAAACAGAAACCGAGCGCCTAAACGCCATTGTTCCGGTGCCTAGGTACATTTTTTTATAATAAAAAAGGGTCCGGGGCCATTTTGTTTATTTTTCAAAACTTCAGGGACCATGGTTGCAATTTTGCTAGTTTTATAATTAAAACCAGCAATTGGGTCTGGTAATCTTCATTCCGCTTCTTCCGCAGGTTTTGCTGCTTCTTTTATTTTTTTTTCTTTTCTTTTTCTTTCTTCCCTTTTCATTTCTTTTTCTTCCTTTAAATTTTCTTGGCATTTTGGAAGTAAAATCAAGAGCACAAAAGAGAATACATCTAAAGATTTGGAAAATTCATAGTCAAGCTTCAAAAAGGGTTTCATCTATAACTTTCATTTTCTTATTTATTCTGTCATATTTGTAATGTATTGTATGTAATATTCTCCTTTTGATCATTTGTATAAAATGGGCTAATTGATTGTGTTAGAATTTATGGTATTAATTTTACCTAGTTTTAATTAATTTTGAAATTTGCTCTTTAATTTAAGTTATTTATTTTCATGTGTTTCTACTATTGTATTTATTTCATTTTCATTTATGTAGCAAATGAATAATTGTGTCTAGTGACTTGTACACCGTTCGAGAAATTATTGTGCATTTTAGACTAAATAGTAGAAACTCTGGGTTTGTGTAGGGGATAGGATATACTCCTATTCCTAGACGATCCATTGAGTTATTTTCTCAAATATTTAATGCGATTGTTTGGTTTTAATCGATATACAGATATAGTAGGTTAAACCAATCAATTATGGTTAATTTCGCTCGAGAGAGGTAATTGACTAAAATTGAAAAATCGGGCCTCACATAGTAAATGAGTAATTCGTTAATTAACTCATGGAAAAATTAATTAGGTAACAGTTAAACGAAACCATGAATCCCAACTACATTTGCTTCCGGAATTTCTAAGATTTTTATATTTTCTTATTTTGTAGGTTTTTAGTTAATTTCCTTATTTAAAATTATATTTTTAATTGTGTGTGTTTATTTTTATTGTTTGAATTAAGTTAATTAAAGTTGTATAATCTAAAGTAAACATTCCTCGAGAGATCGACAATCTGGACTCAAAATGTTCATTTTATTATTTGAATGTGACTCGTGCATCTGCAGTGTAGTATTTTAGTGAATATTTCATAAAGTGGAATGTATGTCACAATTAGCACATGAAGCACAAATTAAGAGGGTCAATTGTGAAGAATGTAGAGGTGAACATGTCACAGCAGAGTGTCCAATATTGATACAAGGAATTGAGCAGGCAGACTTTGCACAGTGAGGACAACGTCAACAAAATAATCCATATGGAGACATATAATCCAAGTTGGAAGAAACACCCTAATTTCTCTTGGAGTAACTAGAACCAAAACAGGCCAGAGGGTCAATTCCAACAGCAAGAGAAGAAGCCTCAACTAGAAGAGATGTTCGGAAAATTCATGGAAAAGACTAATCAGTACATGGAAGCCAATAATAAGTTTATGAGAAAAATCGAAGCCACTCTTCAAGATCAAAATGTTGCCATAAAAAATCTGGAGACTCAAATGGGATAGATAGTAGTTGTTTTGACTGGCAGAGCACCATGAAGTTTGCTTAACAACCCAAAAATCAACACAAGGGAGCATGCAAAGGCATTACAACTTGAAGTGGGGTGCAACTACCTGAAATACATGTCAAGAGGCATGGTGTAAATGGATAAACAACACCTTTTGCAGAAGAAGAGATTGTGGAACAGGATGAACAACCAAAGAAATCAACTCCAAATGAAAGTTCAGAGAAATCACAGGATAAGGCCACAGCTACAGTCAATCCATATAAG